ATGTCACGCCCCGAAAATAATCCCAACATGAATAATACTTCAACCACATACATTCATTAATTACAACCATTCTCCATCCTTTATATAAAAAATCTCCATGGTTTATACAAGGGTTCCACATGCAAATATACATTTAATGATAAGAAGACACCTGAATCTATAGCATGTGAAACATATAGTCTCAAAATAAAAGAAATTCCTTTACAAGCTTACATCTTCCAAGGCAATAGCTCGGTTATACAAAATGGTCTCTCGGACCCATACCAAATTAGCCCTAGGCTTTACAAAAATTACAACAAAAGAAAGAGTGATCTCCTCTTCATCAAAACATATCCACACCCTTAGCTTGGTGGGATCACAGCATCTTTACTTACACCAAAGTCCCATAGGGGTGAGCATGAAGCCCAGTAGAGAATTCTCACAAAGTATATACAGTTATGCAACTTTCAAAAAAAATACAAATGTCCATGCCATGCCATGCTCTTTTAAAGAAAATTCATTTCATGCTCTTCTTGAAGATTTTCATTTTTCAATACAAGCTTACAATCACAACACATTTCAAAACTTCCAATTTTAATCAATAAGGGCGGTAAATACGACACTGATAATCCCTAGGTTGGTGTCTGCAAGTAGACTTTACGAGTACTACGAAACTGTCATTTTTACTGGTATTAACCGGAAGGCTTGACTCATATCCGCGCAATTTTCTGGTCTTTCACCAAGGACACTCTGGCCAACTTATCAAGTTCAACTACACCCCCTATCCGGACTTACTACATATTTACCCCGTACCACATTTCCATAATTCTCATTACAACATAATCTTTCTCAAAGTAATCGTTTTCCAATTCGTTTCAAGATGTGCAATAATGATAATAAATCAAATGAGAACATGATGCAATATATAACTTCTCATAACATTTCTCCATCTCAAACATCTTTACAACAATATCAATTAATTTCATTTCTCATTTCTTCTCCTCAAGGCCATTTCACAAAATAACCATGCCATCAATTTGTAACAACAAATTCTCATCATACCCGGTTTATAACAAGTTAGCCTCTTCAAGGTTACATGTGATGTGTTCAACATAAATTCTAAGATTTTACCTTTTTCACATTTCATAGAACACAACCCCTTACCACTTCCCAACAATACACGTTCAAGTGTTCAACAAAAATTTAGAAATAACATCTCACTTCTCATATCCCAACTATATTGCTATTTTACTAATCATGTAATGTAATTTACTTTCATTCATCCTCTTGGCACAAGATAATAAAGAATTTCATAGACATTATTCTCATCTTCCAAAATCCCCAAATTTCTAGGGTTTTCAACAAATACCAAACATCCTCCCATTTCATGGTGAAATCCAATCAAAATCATATTTTCTTGAGTTTTGTAAACAGAACATTCTCATGGATAGGAAAAAGATTTAGATAAAAACCCATTTCTTCAAAACTTTCTCTATATTTGGAGCAAAATCAAAATCAACACAAAAACTACAATAAGGCTTTTAAATCACCATATATATAGCACAACATGTATATATAACTCAAGAAATCCCTACCTTAATGTTTGATGGAGAGGAGAAGATGAAACCCTAACTTCAAGGATGAGAAGAGCTTGGATTTCCACCACACCAAGTGAAGTTCTAGCCCTAGATCTTCAAGGTGGTGAGAGATTGATGATGATCTAGACCCAAGGATGGCAAGAATCAAAAGTTTTTAGTGTTTTGGAGAGGGTTTCTAGAGAGAATGAGGAGGAAAATGTGGTTTAGAGTGAGAGAGACACGCCCAAAATGTGATACAACTTCGGCCAAAAGAGTAAAAAAAATAGAGATTTCGGACTGCCAGAGTGCTGCACTTGCGGCACCCAATCCTGCACGTGCGGAGCGCCCTCCTCGCATATGCAGCCCTTACCCCTGCACGTGTGGTGGTCCAGCCGCACCTCAGCCCGCACCTACCTTTTAGGCAGTGTGTAACTCCCCCAACTTGCCCCTATCTGCACGTGCGGCCTCATCCCCCGCACGTGCGGCCCTAGCCCAGCAGCCTAGAAAATTTTCACTTCGCTCCCGAGCACTCCAGACCTGACCCCGTACCTCCGGGAACTAGTGAAGTTCAACACCGATAACAAAACAAGAACGAGGGCTTTAGTTGGAAATAACTTCCGAATGTTTCAAACCCAACGAGAACAAAAGAGGACGAAACGAAAGAGAAGGAAAAAGGAAAGAGAGAAAGAGACTCGGCCGTCACAGTATACAAGATGCAACCACGTTAAAGACGATGAAGATGAAGGTACACTAGGAACAACATTAACAATATGAGTAACAATACCTTTACAGCTTCTTCTTTTTTTACCTGTTCCACTCATTTGTATTAGCTCCTTGATTTTTAGGCTTCTGCTCTTACTTGGCATTACAAGGAGCTGGAGTCTTAGGTTTGCTTGGGCATGTTCTTGTAGAATGGCCAAGAATTTTACAAACCTCACATGCTTAATTACATACTTCTCTTAGTGTGAGTTTACCGTTTATATTTAGCTATTTGAATGAGAAGTTTTTTGTCATTACACACTACAAGAAAAAGCAATTTTAGCGACTAAAAATATAAATTTCGTCGCTGAAAGTAGGACAATTGGTGACTAAAATTGAATTAGTAGCCAAAAGTGAAGACTTTTGGGCACGAAAACAGTTTAGTAGCCAAACGTGTAGTTATTGGCGACTAAAAATCAATTTAGTCGCCGATTACATGGGTTTTAGCGACTAAAACAATTTTAGTTGCCAAAAGTGAAGGTTTTTGGCGACTAAAAAAATTTAGTAGCCAAAAGTATAGGTTTTGGCGACTAAAAAATAGTTTGGTCGCCCATTATAGGTGTTTTACCGACAAAAAAAAAATTGTAGACAAAAGTAAAGGTTTTTGGCTACTAAAAAAAATTTAGTAGCTAAAAGTGGACAATTGGCGACTAAAATTCAGTTTAGTCGGCAAAAGTGGAGGCTTTGGCGACTAAAAATAAGTTTAGTCGCCGAAAGTGGTTATTTTTAGGCGGAAATTATTTTTTTTAGCGACTAAATTATTGGTGGTAGCCAAAACTAAGGTTTTTGGCGACTAAAAAAAAATTTAGTCTCCAAAAGTGGCTTCCTTTTTTTTAATAAATAATTTATTTTTTATATAAATTATATTGAATAAAAATAATTATGTTTCTATATATAGTTTTATATTAATATGGGTCAATATACTATACAAATAATATATTTTGCATATATATTCATGTGGTATTACTGTGGCATAGTGGAGAGAGTGTGTTGCTAAAGGTTTAGAATGTGGGAGGTTGGTGGTTCAAAACTTGGGAAGAGCAGAGGTTAAAAAAATAGTCGGCAAATGAATAAATTAAAAAAAAAAATTCACTATTGGCGACTAAAATGTATAATTTAAAAAATATAAATGAGCTTTGGCGACGAAAATTTTAGTCGCTACAGACTTGGTTTTTGGCGACTAAAAATTAGTCGCCAATACCTCCGGCGACCATGTATGCGCGACAAAACCGGCAACTAAAATATTTAGTCGGGGAAAGTGAAAAGTCGACTTTTGGCGACTAAAAATTTAGTCGCCAAAGGTGCTTTTTCTTGTAGTGACAACAAACATGTAGTTCCTAGCTACTACTATTTATTTATTAAAATTGTCACTTTTCTTATATGTCACATTGCAGAAGTAGATGCAGTGGCTGATAGATAAATATTATGTCAATGCAGGTTCATCCAAAGGATGATGTCCCATAATCTAAGTGAGAGATTGAGCACAATGGAATGCCAAGATCAAAGATTCCAGTGCTAACCTCAGATTCACATTTTTTTATTCAAGTTCTTACTCTTAATTACCTCTTGACTGTCCTGCATTCAGTTTTAAGTGATTGAATTTAACAGTCATAGAAAGATTTGCCAATATCAAAATGTTAAGATTTTGGTCTACATCACAGATTTGTTGTGGTGATGAGCCAAAAATACTGTGGCATTTTAATCACTCTTACTAGTTAGCTAGCTTAGGATATCAAAAAAGCTTAGAACACTGGATTTGTGACTTTTGTCTTGAAAAACTTGGGTCCAACAAACTCCAACTTATTGTCAACATTCAGAGTGGTTAGTTTCACTTTTGTCGCTTAAATGATCACCATTTTTTCTATTTCATTTTTAAAGTATTGTTTCATCTATTTAGTCTGGAGTCTTTAATTTAAGCTAATGTGGGCTTATTTTATTTCCAAATTTGAATAACTTGAATAATACAACCAAACATTCATTTATCTTACCAACTATTTGGAAACAAGAGGCATGTATGTTTGGTTGTAAGTTGTAAATTGTTTAATAAAGTGCGAGTAAAAGAACGAGTGTTTGTATGATTTGAATCTTTGACCATTACTGATTTGGTCGTGGCTGTCTCCAATTGGAGTTTATGAATTGAAATTAAAAATTATAGGGACTACATGGATGAAATTAAGACAAATTACAACAGTAGTCCCTATACTTTGATCACTGTGTCATTTTAGTCTATATAATTTTAATTGACTTGATCTTAACCTTGAGTTTATAATTTCATCTTAATTTGGTCAAATTGGTTACAACCTTTACCATTTCTTTTTTTGGAAAATATGCACATAAGTGACATTTGTCATATTTTTAAGGGCAAAATTATAAACTTACCAAACTCAGCAAGTTAACCTCAATCAATTTAATGATAATTTTTCTTAAAATACACTAACGATGTTATCGATTGGATTAAATTGATGCAAAATCTAAAATTAAAGATCAAAATTGAGTCAATTGAAAGTATAGGGATCAAAATGACACAAGTAATAAAATATAGGGACCATTGATGTAATTTATCCATGAAATTAATATTTTACTAAAGAAATTAAAAAAAAAATTACCTTTTTTTTTCCCCAAAACTACAACTTTGCAAAACAAGTTGAGATTTTTGTAACCATATCAACCTTCAAAATATCAACATTTTCTGTGACAATAGTTGATCTATCACCACCATCATTTAATTCAAGTCAAACCAAGAACTTTACATTGAATCACTTAATGAGCTGACAAAAAGGGTTTAAAAAAAAAAAAAACTATCTAAAATTTTAAAATTTAGGGTGTATATTTAAAAATTCTCAGTAGTTTTCTGATTCTATTTTGGGGTATGTAGAGCTAAGAGAAAATTTTTGATGCATCCACGCACCATTTTCAACTCAAAACCCCTCCATTTTGGCAATTAGGTTCTCCCATCTCACCATCACTAACAAATACAAGATGATCACCATCTCTGATCAACTCTATATCATCAATTTCAGCTCCATCCTTGGTTAGAACTTTAGTAGCCAACAAACCAAATTTTTTAGCACCAATCTCAAGTAGCTCTTGAAAACTCTGTGGAACTAGCACAAGCTTTCCTTTAACATCTCCCTTTTCCAGGCAACTAACGGTCACTCTTATAGGACAATCTCTATCAGCCTCAGCACATTTAGTCTGATCTATAGATGAAAGCAAGTCATTGTTGTTCCCTCCATTGGCTGCTGACATAATCCCAAATAAGGAATTGTGAAAGTTACTGGTTCTACGCCTTGGTTGGGATTGCCTCCATGTCCATTCAGTTACTCCGCCTGATGAGCCATCCCGGGACATGGGATAGATCGTTGGTTCACTTGTAAATCTCCCAGATACCTTATTTTCACGTTTTTGTTCTGGTATGACAACGAAAGATTGTGTTTTGACCGCTTTATGGGATTGGAAAAGGGTTTTTATGTCTTCATGTCCTTGCTGGTCTGCTAGGTCTCTAGGGGTCCAACCATGGATGTCTGGTTTGTCAATATTAGTTCCTTGGTCTAATAGGAATTTCACTATTTCGGTGTTTCCTTCACAAACTGCTACATGAAGAGCAGTGGATCCATTGCTCTTTGGAAGCGTTACGTCCCCTCCGTGATAAAGAATTTTTTTGAGTAACTCTAAGTTGTTTTGCTCCACAGCAGTGCATGAAAATTGACCCACATCGCCAGATGATATGGTGGCACCATTATCTGCTAGTATCTTGACCACTGGCTCATGATCAGCCATCATTGCCTCCCATATTGGCACATTGCCTTCTAAATCTGTAAAGATGTAGATATAGTTGACTCTTAGCATATAATTAATGAATAAGTTGTCAATCTTGATAGCAATTTGTGCATGGTCAAGTGATCCAATAAAAAATTGTTGTAGCACAACATTTAAAAATAAAAACAAAAACAAAAAAAAAAACAAAAAAGTGCGACATAATGACTGGGAGATGGAGGCAGATATTGTAGTTGAGAAAATTGATACAAAAAGTGAATTGAATAACTGAAGATTGACCACACAAGTGTCGGTTCATATAATAAGTGAACTAATAGTTATGAGTATCACTGTCTGATAATGTTCCTTCAAATAGAATGCTAGGTTTTATGAAAAATATTTCATGAAAATGATCATAAAAGATTTTTGACTCTTAGATTAGATGTATAATAAATTACAAAGTATAATACAAGGATGGTGATTCGTTCATGATCATTTTTATGAAGCACTTTTCATGATGCCTAACATTTGGCTGTAACATAATCTATACACAACTTATGATGAGCCAACCATCACATATTGGAAAAGTTTAAAATTAAAGGAGGGTCAATTTCTGCATTATTGATATATAAATTAAGAAATTTATGGGATTCAATAACCAAATCCCCCTAGTCTGACTCCCATATGCATGCAAGATCCCTTTGTGGATAAGAGTATAACAAGGTCTGTTGGCACATAAATTTCAACAAATTTATGTTAAAATTTCAAATACGATCAATCAGTCAATGACACATATAGAGCTTATGATAGGTAATCACTTCCTAAAAAGAATCCATTGAACTGCATAAATAAGACAACATCGTATCTCAAGACGTCATTCAAAATGCTCAAGTGACACGTGAAGCCTGCGAAAGATGACACCTGTAGAGCCTACAACAAGGACACCACACAGGATGAAACCCCAAAGATCAATCCGGTTAATAAGATATACGATTAATCAGATAACACTATTATTCAAAATTCAAATGGCGCTATCATTCAATTTGAAATTCAAATTGAAGATGAAGCATTCCTATCACCTGATGGCCCTCTATAAATATGAGGACCATCACACAAGATAGGGGGTCAGAAAATTAGAAGTGAAAAGATCAGAGAGAGAGAAAAAAAATTGAGAGCTAAAGAAGTCATTACAAGAAAGAAGAAGAGAAACCTAAAGAACTCAAGAGCCTACGCTAATGGTGATGAATAGGTAAAGGGTTCCAAACCCAAGAATTGTATTTTATAGTCAAGGGTTCAAAACCCATAACAATTTTAATAAAATATTTATTTTTCTTAAAATGTCTTGTGTTGTTTATTTTGTTCTTCATTAATCGAATGTTTCATTTGTCTAAAATGTGTAATTAACGATCTGAAATACAAATAAGAAATAAGAACCTGTTATTCAAATAATCAACACTGTTTAGTCCAAAAAAACTAAGCAGTGGACATTTGTAACATAAAATTTTGAAATTCGTTGAAATACTTCATGTTTTAAAATTTTTGTCTACAAATTTTGGCACGCCCAGGGGGACTTATTTCTCCTTCCATCTTTTGAAGAACAAAATATATATATATATATATAGTTAAAACTTACTGATGTATTCTTTTACTATAGGAATGCTGAAGCAACTGTAAGGAGACAAACCTACACTCCGGTGGTTCTGAAATCACCAAGGGTGGAGATAGCACCCATCACCCAAGGGGCTCCGGAGCAAATGCTCTTGGCTGTCCCAAAGGTAGAACCAACGAAATCTTGGAAAGATGCACTTCTTTCCCCTATCACCCAAGGGGCTCCGAAGCGAAAGCTCTTGGCTGTCCCGAAGGTAACTGGTGTGACAAAAAAAGTCACACTTCTCCAGAAAGCTGAAAGTTTGAGAAAGATTACTGAAGATTCTGTGAAAGGGTCGAAGCAATACGCAACTGTGAGGGCCACAGCCCGAACGAAGAGCTTTCTAATTCAGGCAAAGGAGGCTAATCAGTTTGCAACTACAACTTTTGTTGCAGCTTCAATGGGGGTAAGAAAAAATGTTGTGGCCCAACTACTCAAAAGGATAGAAGACTCCATTAAAATGGTGGAGTCTGCCCAGAAGAAAGCCTTTGCTGAAAACATGGCCATCATTAGGGCCATTGGGAGGAGGGTAATGGCCCAAACTCCTGTTGATGGAAAAAAGGCCCCTGTTGTTGAAAAAACAGTTGCGGCCTATGAACCGATAGTTCTGTTCAGAGCACAAAATCGGTCAAACCAAATCTTAGTTAACTCTCAAGAGCCAAAGGAACACTCGTTGGCTCGACATGGTTCGAATAAGGAACACCCGTTGGCTCGACAAGGTTCAAATAAGGAACACCTGTTGGCCCAACGGGATTTGAATCAATATCAATTGGTCCGCCCTAAAAATATAGGGACTGTTTTGAAAATTCATGAGGAATTTGAAAAAACGCAAACAGTTCCTTCTATGCCCCTAGGGGCTCGACTTGATATGTCATCCGGTCCAGTTTCGAAAAGACAAAGGCGAAGAAGAAATAAGGCCTTAAAGAAACTGGAACTAAGAACAGTGGCAACAAATGTTATAAAAGCTATTGAAAGGGCTCTCTCGAAAGACGAACACCAAAAACAAATTGAAAGTCTTGTCTTTGTTGGAAAGTCAAAGGTGGATGAGGGTAAGCAACACTTGGGAAATATTTCTACTTTGATTGAACTATCTATGGAGGGAATAAGAAAAGGGCCTGTAACAAGGTCCATAACCCGTAAGGCTCAAAACAAAGCATTGCAGTCAGAAGCTTCAAATATGAGTAATGTTGTGGGGGTTGAAAATCCTTTTGTACGAACAAGATGATTATATCTCGTTTGTTTCAACGAATATTGGAAACAATGAATTAAGAGATATCAACAAAGTCACAGTTATGATGACTGAGGTTGAGAAAGAAGGTGAAAATTCGCAGGTCCAACAAGACCAAGGTCTCAAGGAAAAAGTGGTGGCCCTACAAGAACAACTTGAGAGAAGAGAACGGGAAATGGCCGCTATGTTGGAGAAAATGCAACAGTTGCAGGCCCAAATGATAGGACCAGGAAGTGCAACCAAACAAATGACACAACCTGTTGTAGGGACATCCGTAGGCATACAAAGTACACTAGCCCCAGGGGGCAATGGTCCTTGTTACTCTGATCTGACCAGTGGTGGTATGAATCCAATGCTCATGGCCATGATTGATGATATGGTGAGGAGACAAGTAAAGAAAGTCAAAGAAAAAGATGATGAGAATTTTCGAATAATTACAAAACCTTACCCAACATGAGTAGATGCTGTTCCATTCCTTTCTGGTTTTTCCCAACCAGATTTCAAAATGTTTGATGGAACAGGAGATCCAAGATAACATGTGGCTCATTTCCTTTCAAAATGCGGGCCAATAGCCCAGAATGAGGCCCTGTGCCTGCAGCTATTTGTCCAATCACTTGAAAGTTCTGCATTTACTTGGTATGCTAATCTTCCTGAGGAATCAACCCTAAATTGGGATTCCATGGTGAAGGAGTTCCTTAAATAGTTCTGCAACACACAAAGGTGAGTTGGAGTACCAGAACTGATTGAGACCATGCAACATGACAATGAGTCTATTACAGATTTCATTGCAAGATGGTGAGCTTTGACATTTGCTTGTCCTCAAAAGTTTACACCATTAGAGTTAATTCGGATGTGCCTTAATAACTTTCGATATGAGCTCTCTACGGCTCTTATGGCTCAAACTTTTGAAGGATTCAATGATCTATGCACTAAAGCTTATGATATGGAGCTGCATCAAGCTAAGCGAAGGAGGCCTAGGGCCGTTGAAAGGATTGAGTCCTCAACTGCAGCTACAATCGAAACCAGAAAGAAGGGTCCTGTTGTAGTAGGGGCTAAAAAGCCCAAGGAATTTAAAAATGTGACTATGAAAGAGAGGTTGGAGAAGAAATATTCTTTCATGGATGATCTGGTCGAAGACCTATTTGAAGATCTGTTGGAGCAAAAGTTGATTGCTCTCCCTGAGGTGAAAAGACCACATAAGGTAGGAAAGACCAACGATCCAAAGTATTGCCCCTACCATCGTTTGATTAGCCATCCGATAAAAGAGTACTTTGTTCTAAAAGATAAAATTCAGAAACTTTTGGACTCTAAGATTATCGAGCTCCCTCCTCAAGAGAAAGCATCTGCTAACCTAATCACTATCGACAATGATAATGAAGGTGAATGGGTTGTTTATCAGTCAAAAAGCATGAAGAAAAAACAAAATGCCATAGTGAAAACTAGAAGTGTGGTTGATTCGACAACACAAGGGCCAAAAGTTTCCAAAAAGCAAAAACCAAAAGTTTCTAGGAAACAGAAAAAAGCCAAAGTAAGTAAGAGAAAAGGAAAGAAGAACCCAAAGAAAGAAAAAGGGAAGAAATTGGTCCCTGGTGAGCAGTTAGAGCAATGTCCCCTTGTCCCAGTCACATTGGAGGAATTTCTACCTTCAAAATTTCAATCTGTGGAGTTGCAGACATACTTGGATAAAAGGAGGGAGGAAAAGTTTACTTTGGCCCCTTGCTTAACCATCATTGTTTTGAGTGATGACGAAGAAGATGAGGGTGAAGTTGGTTCAAAAGTTAGGGAAGGAGATTGCATTACATCTCCTATCTTCATACCTGACTTACCAAAGTATACACCAACTTCTCCAGAATATACACCAGTCTCACTAGAGTATACACCAGCTTCTCCGGAGTACACAACAGAAGCCTTTTCTCCAAAATATTCGCCAATACCACCAATGTACTATCAAAGCACTCCAGAATATGTAAGGCGAGCAGAACAAGGAGACACGGGGTGTAGGTTCGACTCTGAGCTTGTGAAAAAGGCAAAAAAATGACTACACTTCAAGGATGATGAGGTGAATGGTAGGTGTATGTCGGATGATGAAGTATGGAAGCATTCAAGTAAACAAACAAAGACTTCACAAAGAAAGGGAAACAATGATCCATTTGGAGAAGTAGAGGCCTATTATGCTGATGCTCGCTTCTATACAAAGACTTCACAAAGAAAGGGAAAAGATGTGAAAAAGTCTGAAGATACTCCGAATGTCAAAGACGCTCTAGAGTCTACTCCAGTTTTAACAAAAAGAACTTTTCGATATTTGCCAAAGTCCGAAAGGAAACTAGGGGCAACGGCTCTAGCCCCAATAAATCCAATTTTGGATCACAAGGGTGAGTTCATGTTGCCATTAAGGAGGACAGAATGCACCTATGTGGAGAAATATAATAAGATTGTGGTCCCTTCTAAAGGAAAAGGGTCGAAACCCATCATATTCTACTCACTTGGAGATGTTGAACAGAAAGTGAAAGTTGAACAAGTGCCAGAAGAAAACATCTCAAGTTTTGAGAAGCCTACTTTCAATGCAGAAATTACACAGATGTTGGTGAAAGTTGGTTTAGATCCTGAAAAAATACCAAAAACAATGACACCCTTTGACTTTGCATTAACACCTTCGTAGAAGCAAGCTATCCAACAAGGCGGTATTATCACCGCTAGGACATAAGGGTTAGGCTATCTGGGGGATGAGGAAAAATTTCCAGTAAACATGACTATCACTCAAGATGTGTTGGAAGATGTTGACCAAGATGAAGCTCAACCTGCACCAACAGAATTTGAAGCAGGAGGCCAAGCCACTGTGGATAACCTTCGTGAAATAAATCTAGGTGATGAAAGAGAAAAGAAACCAACCTTCATTAGTGCAAATTTAAAGGAAGAAAAAGATCGGCAATATATTTCCTTCTTAAGGGAGTATCGTGACATATTTGCATGGAACTACAGTGAGATGCCTGGTCTTAATCCAGAGATTGCAATCCATAAGCTTGCAATTCACCCTGAGAAACGGCTAATTAAACAGCCTCAGAGGTGAACTTGACCAGAGCTTACAGCCCAAATTGAAGCCGAAATCGACAAGCCTATCAATGCAGGATTCATTAAGGAAGTCCAATATCCAACCTCACTAGCAAACATAGTGCCGGTCAAGAAAAAGAATGGTCGAATAAGGGTCTGCATTGATTTCCGTGATCTCAATGAGGCTTGTCCTAAAGATGACTTTCCCTTGCCCATCACTGAGCTTCTTGTAGATGCAACTACTGGGTATGAAACCTTGTCTTTTATGGATGGATACTCAGGATACAATCAAATCCAAATGGCACCTGAAGATAAAGCATTCCTATCACCTGATGGCCCTCTATAAATATGAGGACCATCACACAAGACGGGGGATCAGAAAATTAGAAGTGAAAAGATCAGAGAGAGAGAAAAAAAAAAGTAGAGCTAAAGAAGTCGTTACAAGAAAGAAGAAGAGAAGCCTAAAGAACTCAAAAGCCTACGCTAATGGCGATGAATAGGTAAAGGGTTCCAAACCCAAGAATTGTATTTTGTATTCGAGAGTTCAAAACCCATAACAATTTCAATAAAATATTTATTTTTCTTAAATTGTCTTGTGTTGTTTATTTTGTTCTTCATTAATCGGAGGTTTCATTTGTCTAAAATCTGTAATTAACGATCTGAAATACAGATCGGAAATAAGAACCTGCTATTCAAATAATCAACACTGTTTACTTCAAAAAAACTAAACAGTGGACATTTGTAAAATAAAATTTTGAAATGTATTGAAATACTTCATGTTTTAAAATTTGTGTCTACAAGGTCAACTGAAGATTCAAGAAAAAGTCAATGATTCCAACACAAATTTGTAATTTCTATCCCAAATAGGAAAGAGCAAACTGATACGCTATATTTCGGAAATACAAAGAAAATGATAAACTAGGAAAATTTGAGGATGTCGAACAGGATGATATCATTAAATATTTGAATATTAGGTGATGCAACTTATTTGAATATTACATGGCACATGTCAACGTGTTCCCAATAATGGAAATTTCTGTAATATCAGTGTGACAGAGAAGGAAAGTTCCCATTCCTAAATGTCAATATAGTTTTGAACCATTGTATGTATTATTGTTCATCTATATTAAAAAGAAAAATACTTTTATTTTTGACAAATAAGTGTTCCGAGTATTAAACAATGATATCTAGAGTCGACAAGTGTTCAGAGCCCAGATAAAAATACAAAAAAAAATCAAATATAAGATTAGAATTGCAATAATTGAGAAGCACATAGATGATCAAATTGACAAATGGGAACAATATTGAAATTTTAGTTATAATATAATTTAATAGATCTACAACTAATTCAGCTTTGGAATGAAGAATTGGTTGAAATGCTATTTTGTACACACACACACACAAATGTATAAACTAAGCCATTATCTTTAAAAAACAATAAGATTATTGTCATGTGTACTATGTGATCTACTTGACAAAAAAAATTGACAAATGGGAACAATATTGAAATTTTAGTTATAATATAATTTAATAGATCTACATCTAATTCAGCTTTGGAATGAAGAATTGGTTGAAATGCTATTTTGTACACACACACACACAAATGTATAAACTAAGCCATTATCTTTAAAAAACAATAAGATTGTTGCAATAGGATAACACAAATGTACTATGTGATCTACTTGACAAAAACAAAAGAGACTGATGGTGGAATCAAAAAATATTATTAAGAAAAACACTGATGAAGAGAAAATTGATTATTGAGAAGTAATTAAAACAAAGTGCAAGAAGTAATAAAATGGAAAACAATCAATAATCAAAGTAGTGTTTGATATTGTTACCAAAATGGCTTTGCTAACTGATCTCATTGGGTAAAGAAAATACCTCTGCTATTAGGACTTGCTCCATAATCGAGCAGGAGAAGCACGCAATTCTCACTTCCTTTCGACGCGGCTATGTGCTGATTTTACATAGAAAAAAACATCGAAATTAAGACAAACCCATATTTAGAAATTAATGAGAAACCACAATGCAAAAAGTCAGTGGCGTATACACACCAAAGCAGATCTCCCGTTGTTATCTGATTCGTTTGGATCCAAACCCCGTCTCAACAATTGATCCAACAACAGGTCGTCTCCCCTAAGTGTAGCAAAGCATAGGCTTAGAGGTAGGTCCATTCTACCATGAGCAAGCATGTTCTCTGTCTCCAACAAAACTCCCTCCATTATCGGGTCATTCTGTTCTTTCAAATGCTGCCCATAAAACAAAGAAGTTGAAATTCAATCTCGAGTTTGAAAAAACAAACATATGCTTGTGTATTCGACTACTAACTATGTCATATCAAACATTAATGACAAAGATAGTGGATTAAAAAAAAAGAAGGGAAAATAAGAGGAATTTTTTGAGAAATGTTGGTCAAAGAAATACAAAATCCTACATCTAAACTGGCTTATTTTTACCGGTATGATCAAAATCAATTTGGGTGTATCAAGCTTACATACCTGAAGGAGATTGTTCATGATTATGGTTCCATCTCCGACATTGGCTTGAACAATATTCAAGAATGTGGTCCGGTTCATACGCAGTAACTGGCATAATCGTTTAGTCCTCATTGTAAAGAGTTGTGGCCTATAACATAGCACACCAATCTCCCCACAAAGATCACCTGTTTTCGCCTCTCCAATGACCTGCAAGGATTAAACCATAATTTTACACTTGGGACATGCATTTTGTCATGGAAACTCTGAAATCTTTCAATGTCAAAGTTTCAATCAAGTCATTTAATTGTTGGCAGACTCCTTTTGAAATATTCAAGATTCAGACTTACCTGTTCAATTCCGTTTTTGAAGACCAATAGCTCCTGTGAAATAATCAAACATTAAAAACTCCAACAGAAAGGATTTACAATCGACTTATAGTAATCTATTTCTATTCATTTTCGTTTTCATAATATTTTTTTTGAAAAAAGACTAAAAACTAGTTCAGTGAAAATAAACTCCAAAAAGATGTTTTTTTGAATTTTCAAGCACTATTTTGCGCGCCAAAAAAAAAAACTATATGAAAATGATGAGAGTATTTTTAAAATTTTCATTATTCTTTCATCAAATTAGTTTTTAGTGTTTTTTAGAAAATAGATTTTGAAAATGAAATCAGACCGTTCCAAAAAAAAAAAGAAGGATAAAGCTCCATAATTACCACAGCTCCGGTAACAAGTATGTAGAAGTCTGTGGGCGCTTCGTTCTGCAATATCACGTCTTCTTTGGGAGGAAAATACTCGGCTTTCATCTCCGAAACCTTTGAAATTAATAAACCAGAAAACACAACATTAGGGGACATATTCGAGTGAAATACGCAGTGATCATGCTAAATCTTGGTATATTACCAGTTGGAAGAGCAAGTCATTGGACACGCCACGAAACAAGTACACCTTATCGACAAGAGAGTAGAAAAGAAAATGTGAAATGCTTGATCGGATGGCTTTTGGAAGCGAATCAAGAGTCTCCTTCTGCTGCAGGCCCTCCGAGTCTGTTCTGTACTTCAAAGATAAATGCGCAAGCATCTGATCTTGCAGGCGAGCAGGCAAATGGTTTCTCTGTGCAAAATATGATGCTGCTTGAATTGTATCTCTCTGTTTTAAAATACACGAAACAATTAATGGCATAATAAATAAACAAAATTAAAAGAGAATTCATAAAAAAGTAACAAATATTAGGATTTACTCACAAATTCTCTAGTTTTACTGGTACCGTGGACAACCAAGTTGGTCATATTTCCTATCAGATATGCTGTCAGTCCGAGGTTGAAGAACATGTAGAATATATCAAATACCATCTCCCTTGTATTTTGAGCATGCAAATCGCCATATCCAACAGTTGTGAGAGTAGTGATAGACCAGTAAATTGATGTCACATACCGGATCCATAGGCTCTCGTGAAGGAAGTCATCCATGGATGCTCCAATCCATGTCTTTTTTGGGTTGCGATAATGTGCAGCAAGAAGGTAATAGAAGCATCCAGCACAGTGAACCGCGAAAAGGGTGACCTATAATAGCAACCAAAACAACATAAAATGCTACACTGTTGGAAAAACCGATCACTTTGATACAGAATAGACCAAGGTTTCTCAAATTTACTTACACAAATAAGCTTTGCACATCGAACCCAAAAGTAGTTGAAGTTCCTATCTTTCTCCAATCTGTTTTTGAACAAAGAAAACGAGGATTGGGAATTACACAAATACACATTTCACCTATGCCATCATGCTATCTATAATTATATGCTCGTTAAGATTGAACGACAATAGTTTACCTGGCAAATAGAGCACTAACTCTACGAAGACGCCAGAGGCGAAGCATGTTGAATAAGCCACATGAGCGTAAAGGTGTAGGAGAAATCTTCTTAGCAAGTTCAGAAGGGAGTGTGGATACGACATCAAAGACTAGCCAAGAACTTGCATATTTCCAAGAAATTTGATTTCGATTGTCAACAATTAGGTAAGTTGTTTTGTCAAGGTATGCTACAAAGAACGTGAGAATGATATCGATGGCGAAGAATCCGTTGACAACATTGTCAGTAATGCCTAGTAGCCCTTCTGGCCTATCAAGGAAACCAAATTCGAATGGAGATACCCAAGCTGTGTAGATGACTAGAACAACCAAAAATGTCTCCCATGCCCTGCAAATATTAGTTTAACTGAGCTAAATGACAATTGGGACCGAAAGAAGAAAACAATTGGGGAACATTCATTATGACAATTGGGGAACATTCATTATGACTATCACTAATAATAAACTAACAATCTACAAACAAAATGTAGTGTGGTCGCCACATAACAATCAGAAGGGATTTTTGTGCAGTTTTCTGAAGTTGGGTTTTTGTGTTTCATTCTTTTTGTTTCCCTCAGGTTCTGGTTTCTCTTTGTTGGTCTCTCACCAACTAGGAGGTTGGAGCTTCCTAGCTCCAAGCTTCTCTTTATTGATGTAATTTTCATACTTCGTATGCGTTTATCATCAATAAAGCTTTTCTTTTGCCGTTCAAAAAAAAAAAAAAAAAAAACAATCAGAAGGGATTTCAACCACAATGCATTTTCTTTGCACTTAGCATTATTGGTATCATAAACCTCTGAGATTTGTCATATTAGTGAAAAAATTTCTTACATGGAAAAAACAAGACGGAAAATATCAAGTTGTAATTGTAGAACAAAAATTAGTGAGATCATTTTTTCCAAGCAAGAACAATAACCCTATGTTTGGATTGAGTGATTTGGAGAGAAAAGAAAAGAAATGAAGTGATATGTATTTCTTTTATTTATTTGGATAACCTAAGTAGAGAGAAATGGGAAGAAATGTAGAGAAATGGAGAGAAACTCATTTCTCTTATAAGCCTCATTTTCAATCTTCCCAAAAGTGGAGAGATTGGGAGAGAAAAGAAATCACTATTTTCATAATATCAATTTTGTCCCTATAAAAACAAAAGAAATAAAATGATTGAAAATATAAAAAGGTTATTTTGGTAATATAACATAAAATAATGTCTTTTCTTTTCTCTTAATGAAACCTAACCAAACAAGAATGAGAGACATTACAATCATTTCATTTCTTTTATTTCTTCCTTATCCAAACAAAAAGGAGAGAAATCACAGTCATTTCTTTTCTTTTCTTTTCTCTTATTACTTAATTAATTTTTTCTTTTCTTTTCTCTCATAAATTCCCAAACATAGTGTAAAGAAGCCAAAATTATGCAGAAAAGAAGCAGAAGGGATTCTACAAGAAGAGTAGGTTGAAAAAAGTCCACGAAACCGAAAAAAGCAGATTTTAGAGGAAGTTGTTCAATAGAAGTAGTTGTTGTTAGTCTTTAGTAGAAATTTTAAAATTTCTTTCCAAAGTCAATCATATCAATAAAGCGGGTTTCGTCTTAGTTTTTGAAAAGCTAGTGATGAAACAAGATCTGGATTTGTTTGCAGGTGATATGATGATGATTGATGTTCACTCCTGGCTCAATGTGCTTAACGAAAAAGGAAGTCTATAGACATTTTAAAATTGTTTAGGGTACCTAAAATATAAAACTTTTTGACTCAAAATTTTAAAAAATTAACTGAAGATGAAAATAACTATAAAGCTTGGAGATGAAAGAAATGCTAACAAGTACAAAAAAGATACTGACTGAGCCATCAAAGTGATTCTGCAAAATAGTCAACTGGAATATTTTTCAATTGCTCCCAAATTGGTGGAGGAAAAAAAAATTACTGTTGAAAATGTAGTGTGACAATTACATTTTTTTTTTTTCTTCATAGAATCAAGTCCTTTCTTTTAAATTTAAAAAAATCATATTTTAGAATCCGAAACTACGAGTATGAAACACAAAATTAAACAGTGTGGTCGAATATAAACGGAATAAAAAATTTCAAAAGAAAATTTGGAAAAAGGCAGAAGAAGAATCAGTTAGTGTGGCATATTTCTAGAGATGGAGTCCTCTTTTCAAATCAAAATTTTCCATCAGACCGATCCAAAATTCAAAAGCACGAAAATAGAGCCAGAAAGAAAAATCATATTCACATGCTGTTCATGCTCAACCTGCATCGTTAATCTTCAAATTTTCCAGGAAAGTGAACTAGAAAATTGCAGGCCACCAGTTAGGAATGATTTTGGTCTCTCACTTTTTTTACTGTGCAATTCCAAACCCATGTGCACAACCAAAACTAGCAACAGAGAAATGGATCCTGCTACGTTTCTTGAAAACTGTTATGAAAACTGTCTTGAAAACCATCTGTACCGTTGGATCATGAGACACATACCTGATTTAACGGTGCATATGGTTTTCATGACAGTTTTCATAAAAATTCTTCATGACACCTAGCATTTCCCCAGAAAAATTTACCAGAAAGTGTTTCAAAACAGATTATAATAAAAACTTGGGTAATTATATCGGTAGTCCTTGTATTTTTGTTCCGTATCATTTTGATTCTTATAATTTTAATTAACTCAATTTTGATCTTAATTTTAGATTTTGTGACAATTTGATCCAATTGATAAAGCTGATTAGGATTTTTGAAGGAGTTTTATTGAATTAGTTCAGGTTAACCCACTAAGTTAAATAATTTTACAATTTTGTCTATAAAAACATAATACATGTCACTTATGAGAGTATTCTCTCAAAAAAAAAATAAATAAATAAATAAAAGACAATTGTAACCAATTAGACTACATTGAGACAAAATAATAAATTTAGAGTCAAAATTGAGTTGATTAAAATTATAAAAATTAAAATATAAAGACTGCTGATATAATTTGCCGTAAAAGCATTTTGTAAAAAGGGATAAAGTGTATGAGAAGTATAAAAAATTAAATAAAAATAGAAGGACCAAAAACAAGATCAATATTTGTAGAGTAATGCTACAAACTCCAAATAATCTTTCAAATATTTTATCATACCTCTCACATTGGTGTGGGACCCACAAGTTTGTGTGGATCTCATACCCATGTAAGAGATTTGATTAAACATTTGATAGATTATTTGGAATTTATAGCATTTCTCATATTTGTATGATAGAAGCAAGGCATACAAGATTGAGTGTTGTTCTTTTCCACATACTCTCAAGAAGAATAGAAATGATACATTCCTTTAATTTGAAAACTCTAAAGGAGCATTAATGATGTAGAAAATGAAAAATAATAATAATAATAAATAAATAAATTAAGGCTAAAACAACACATCACATAGGATCCACACACTAATTAAAGCTATTAGAACTCTTAATTTAGAGCTCTCAATCTTTTTTTAAGAAGAAAAAACAAACAAAACAATACCATTTCTTTTTAATTTTTGGAACACTAAGGCCAAGTTTGGAAACTTGTAAAAAAGTTAAAAAGTCAAAAAGTTACTCAAAAATTTAAAAAATTAACACTATTCACCAAAAGTCAACAATTACGGCTACAAAACTCTCAATCTTAATTTTTCTCTACAAACCAATTTTTATAATTTTTTATTACACATTTTTCCATAAAAAGTCAAAAAAGTTAACTCAAACATCCATATTTTTTCCCTCAAATTTTTAGTCCAAAAAGACAAAAAGTGCACTTATTTAAGACACTCCAAATAACCCCTTAATGTCTAAAAGGTTGATTGAAATTGTGGAGTAATTGAGGGGCAAGAATGGCAACGAGAGAGAGTACTAACCCCATATGAACTGTTCCTGATGCAGTTATCAGTGCAAAAGGATGTGGGTCTAGCTGAGCCGACCAGACCAGATTTCCGGTTAACCGACACACCGCAATCACATACGCAGGGCCATAGATTGCGATGATCAAGAGGTCGCCAGCGATCGTTGGCGTGGCTCTTGACACCGATACGTTCACTATAGTCCCAGTTGCACTCAGCCCAGTCAGCTCGCCAACGTTCTGTTTCCATATCAGTGCACCATTGAAAGCATTCACTGCATAAACATACCCATTCCATGATGGGAAGTAGACTACTCCATTGGCCACCGCCGGAGTCGCAGATATGTCTTTTCCGGCAAAGAATTTCCATCTTAAATGTAGTTTTGGGACAGTTTTTGGGTTGATCAGAAGTTCTTCTTTGGCATACCTAGTGTTACCGATGTCTCCTCCATGATTACACCACTAAAACCATAAAAAGAAAATAATGGTTATCATAAGAAAACCCTAAAAATAATAATATGACATAAATATATTAGGACTAAGGAGAGACCAATGATTTTTTCTGTCCTCTTTCAAAACACTTGTAATTATTAGATCATGTGAAGATGTAGAGAAATATGTAATGAGTGGGAGTGTTTTGAGACAAAAGAATAGAAGATTTTTGAACAAAAAATCTTATATCATCTAAGAAAGGAAAAATCTAATAATATATAAACCGATCACAAAACTGAATATAACAATTTTCTGATTGATTTATTATAACTGGAAAACTGTACGAGAAAAACTAGCCCTTACCTCAGCAACCGTATGCAGACACAACATCATGAGCAGGATCACAAGAAGACCATGATTGTGTGTAAAAGCCATTGCATGAAGAAGTACTTTATCAAGAGATGAGAAAGCAGAATCGTACTTATAGTTGGTTAAAAAAAGTATGAACATGAGTTGGTGCAAAAATTGATAATAGCTGGAATAAGACAGCTGAAAAATACCTTAATGTGTACAATTTTATCAGAGTAAGAGGGTAATAACCTTAATCTTCATTGTCAATTGAAAGTAAATATACATACTCTAATGAGATTCCCAGTGAAAGGACGTTATGAGAGATTCAATGCTAGGAAAAAGAAGAAACATAAAAAGAAAAAAAGATTGTATTGAATAGGGAGACCTAGTACAGTATACCATGTTGTATGCAGCGACCAAGTGAAGGTTGTGTTGATTTATTGAGGGAAAATAAAATAAGAATTTTTTATTTTTTTTTTTGGTAACCAAAGAGTTGAAACTACGATATTCCTTATATTGTTATTTCAACTTTTTTTTGTTTACCTCTTATTATTATTTTTAGGAAAATGTTTGGTAGCTTAAAATTTTTTGGCTCAAATAGCTTAAATCTGTCAAAATGATGTCGTTTTACACTCAAAATCCGTCAAAATGATGTCGTTTTGAGTGATTTGAGCCATTTGAGTCACAAAATTTTGAGCTTATCACTTTACATTTATTTATAAATCTCTACATTTTGACATCATCAACTATCAAAATTAACCCTAAAAGATAAAATGATGTTCACTTAGTTGAAGGGATCTGAGTATAATTAATCCTAAAAATTAGAAAGGTAAATTAAGAAGTTTAGAAAAAATGTAATTAATTCAACATTTTTGACGTAATTATATTGATATTCCTTTTAGTAAGATTAAAATGATTGAAACTGATGCAAATAATAGATAGCCACTGAAATAAATAAAGATAAATATATATTTTAGTTTAAAAAAGATGATAACATCATTCTTTTTTCATTTATATTACTAATGAATTATTGATAAAAAAATGGTTCAAATGTTAAATAAATTAAAACCTTAAGAGTGGTTAATGTAATTATGTATAAAGTATTTTTTTCAAATCTCAAGAGAGGGAAGTGTAATTTATCAAAATTAGAAACAATATAGTCTATTATATTACAACACTAGTGACCTATATTTTTATCTCAAATTTCATTCACAAAAATCGATCTATGACTCAAATTTATTCTGTATATGGAGTTCACACTGTACCAAATCAATCTCTACCATACAATTTCATTCTGGGTTTAACCTAGATAACTTTTTTGGGTAAATAGAATTATTGTTTATATTAATTAGAGTTAAAGATGTAAAATGATAAATAAATGAGTAACAATGAATGCTAAGTGTAATGTTTTACTGTTTTAATCTTATTATATTGATCAAAATTAAATCATATATATATATATATATATATTTGATAAATATAATCAGGACAGAGTTGGGATAGAACGAGGTATGGAGAGAAAAATTCATCACATCTCTATTTCGTCATTGGGACAGAGAAAACCCACACAGGGTGAGGCAGGGACACAAGGGCGAGGAAAAATTGTCATCTCTATTTTCAAGAAAGGGCGGTTTTATTTGCACCATAAATTATCTTGCTACATCCTTTAATTATATTTTTTTTGTTATAATTTTATCTTTGTATCAAATTACAAATATATATATATATACAACGTTTAAAATTTTAAAATCCTAATTTGTTTATCGCCCATCTCCTTCAACCACATCTATTGTTGACGTTAGCGTTTGCTCCACTCATAGCCACATTCCAACCCCTCCACATCATCGCTCTTTACCACCGCAAACTCCTTTTCTTTTTGACCACCCACACCAAGCTATCCCCTTTTTTGGCCACCATTGTAACCGCTATTTTCTCCACCTCGTCACCTTACCTCATGGTCCCCACCCTTTTCCCTCCCTAATGGTCCCTACCCTTTTCCCTCCCTTACAACCACCACCCTTCTTGTATCTTGCCTCTTTTACTCCTCATTTTCTTATAGCACTCATTTACCCTTGAAACCCTATCTATCTCTTTTCCTAACTCCCCCTTCTCCCTAGGCCCCTTTTCTTTTCCACCACCTTCATATCCTCGTTACCTACCCTCAAAGCTCTAACCTCCCTCCCATTTTCGCTAGTCTCTAGTCCTTTCTCTTTGTCAATATCCTAAGCCTCTCCCCTGACACTCTTATGCACCTCTCGTCTCTTTCTGTTTCACTACAACAAATGGCACTTTTGACAACTAAATTTTTTGATTGCTAGACTATCATTGAATAATTGTCGGGAAAGGTAATTGGCGACCAAAAAAATTTAGTTGCCGAAAGTCCTCAATTATCGACTAATGTTTTCGTTGCCAAAATCTTTCATAAAAAATTAATATCGTATTTTCAGCGACTAAAACATTTCATCACCAAAAATCCTCAATTGCCGACTAATGTTTTAGTCGCCAAAAGCTTTCAAACAAATTAATGTTGCATTTTTAGCGACCAAAACATTTAATCATCAAAAATTGAAATTATTTAGGACGATTAAAGTTTTAGTCGCCAAAATTTTTTTTGTTGTTCATCTTATTTTTATAGCTACTAAATGTTTTAGTTGCCAAAAGTCTAAATTTTTTTAGCTACTTAAAATTTAGTTGCCTAAAGTCCATTTTTTTAGCTACTAAATGTTTTAGTCGCCAAAAGTTTAAATATTTTTAGCTACTAAAAATTTAGTCGCCTAAAGTTTGATTTATTTTTTGGCCACTAAAGTTTTGGCCGCCAATTTTTTTTTTTCATTTTATTTATTTTTTAGCCACTAACTATTTAGTCGCTAAAAATATGTACTTCCTTTTTGGATACCAATTGTTTAGTCACCAAAAACATGATTTTAGGTTGTTTTATTTATTAATTTTTCCACAACCTGTATGTATTCTGTGCAACATGTACCATCTATATAAACAAAAAAAAAAAACATATATTATCAACTATTCCGTAATTTGCATCCATTCACTTCCAACCATCCAAAAAAGAATAACTTTTAATATCAAATTTCATACAAACTAAGTATATTCTAACCTAAAATAATAATTTCATACAAAATATAGAATCAAACGAAAACATGTTCTCCGTACACCAAAAAAAAAAAAAATATTCACTATCATGCCAAATGCATGGTACAAATTACCAAAAGGTAATCTATATACCACACAAAAAATATATGTTTGATGCCAAAAGTTATCAGTACGATTAATATTAATCCACACAAAAGCAAAAGACGACCAAATAATGGGATCATACAAAAGTGTAAATTGTTCTCCATACACAAAAATAGAATATCCACAACTCCACACCAAAAGCCATCTACAAAAAAAAAAAAATTGCACCCATTAGTACCAGAAATGTATGCAGAACTTGATAGTCTGAGGCAAAAGAGGTTATTGTCAGTGAATTAAATTTTTCATCTTCTTCAATACTCTTTCCATTATATAATCTTAGACATGGTTGAAGTGTTGACTAAAAAGATGACATTTTGTTTGCATATATATATATATATATATATTTTTAAATAGCGAATGCATGGAAACAAGTAGCAGCACTTATTGCCATAGAAAATATCAGTAGATTCAGTACAATGGACTCAAGCAGCACAATTCATGTGAATAACAATAATCACTCACAACATTTAGGATTAAGAGAAGTGATAAAATATGTTTGAAGACTCATAAAGTAGTTATCTATAATTAATAGTACATATGACATAATTAGTCATCTAAATATGTTCGATTTAGTTTTAGGCCTTTTTCACTCTAACTCTCAATCTATGTGTGATAACTAAATGTCGTATGTTTCCATAGGTCCTATTTGTCATGAAGAAGCTGCGCGTGACATCCATAGTGGTTCGGGAGCTATTTTGCATTTTTTGCTGCCCAAATGTCCTTTTTCAACTAAGTATACAGCGTTTTCGACTTTAGCTCCCAACCTAGGTGTGCTAACTACATGTCATCTATCCCCATAGGTCCTATTTGCCATAAGGAAGCTGTCCATGACATTTATAGAGTGGTTCAGGGATTGTTTTGCATTTTCACCTCCCAAACATCCTTTTTCGACCAACTTTAAGGCGTTTTCTAGTCTAACTCCCAACTTATGTATGCTAATTACATGTCATCTGTCCCCACAAATTCTATTTGTCACATAAAAGCTGCCCATGACATCCGTAGAGTAGTTCAAGGACTATTTTTCATTTTGCGAGGACAGTCGAAAGCCATATCTAATTAGTGTTAAAATGATTAATTAACATAAGGGTATAAGAGCCCTAACTATATGCCATCCAGTATAGAAAACCTAGTGCCTTCTTTCCCCTTTCACTACTATGAACCACATAAATAATTTTTTCAAACCTTTTTCCATAGACGATTCATTGAAACACATATATAAGGTGAACATGAGTTAGGTGCATGTTTGTCCCTCTAGAACCTAGTTATAAATCAACAGGAAAGTTTGGCACACATGAAAACATCTAGGATGTAATTTGCTCATATAGCTTATAACGTTCCTTCAGTTATGCAGTGACCATTATAATGCATCGTATAACTTGATGGAGGTTATTCGATAATCATGCATTTCTTTTTTATTACTTATGCTCAATAATGTAATATTATTTGCATATAGAATTAGTGAAAGGAAATAATATGAAGGTCAGTAGAACTGCATTAAACATAACCATCCCAAAAGCAGCAACAAACCCACTCCCAGTTGAATCTTAAATCCAATCTCAATCCATCACAGAGGTGCTTCAATTCAAATAAAGATTTTTATTTGTTGTGAGGTGTCTTGTATTCGCTATACCCTCAATTGGCGCCCCAAGGGGGGGAGGGAAGGGTGGCACAACGAACCGGAGGATTGCACCAAAATTGATGTTTATGGACCTGTAATGTTAGTTTTAGCCCATTAATTTTTACCCTATAAATTGTATCAGTTTATACGTTTTAAGAGGTGTAACTAATCTGTGAGCAATAAACAAGTGAAAATATATCAAATCCATGTATGACTTGATGGGTATTGCCCAACAGTAAATAGAAAGCCCAACAGTTATTAAACTCAACAACCACCACAAGCTCAAA